TGGGCAAATTCCTTAACCTCTCTTTGCATTGGTTTCCGCTTTTATAAAATAAAGATAATAATAGCACCTTCTTCATATGATTGTTAGGAAGATTAACAAGCTATTGTATATAAAACACCTGAAGAATGTCTGGCATCTGGTAAGTACTTGTTTAAGTTTTGCTCTTATTAATAGTACTGGTACTAGTTATGGTTAAACCCAAGGTAGCTGTGGTGTGATGGCAGAAACTTGACACTTGTTTGTCACAAGACTTGTGTTCTTCTCCCATTGATCACTTTGTGTTCTAACCTTTTTTTTTTTTTAATTTTTTAATGTTTACTTATATTTGAGAGACAGAGTATGAGCAGGGGAGGGGCAGAGAGAAAGGGAGACACAGAATCCGAAGCAGGCTCCAGGCTCTGAGCTGTCGGCACAGAGCCTGACACAGGGCTCGAACTCACGAACGTTGAGATCATGACCTGAGCCGAGTCAGAGTGTTCTAACCTTTAAGAGCCTCAGCTCTGAGATTTGGGTGTGAATGAGTCTGTACCTCCTACTGGTCAGGACACCTAGGCTGGATGAACATACATACGTATATATATGTATGTGTACATACATATGTATGTATGTATGTTTATGTATATGTATGTATATATCTCATAGCTCCCATTTTTTAATCTTCTGTCTCCTGGCATAATTTATATGTATTATCTCTTTGCACCCTTCAAGTAACTCTCTGAGGAAGGTTTTATCCCCGTTGCGCCCTTGAGCAAATCAAGGCTTGGTAACTAGCCCCAGGTTGCATTGATGGACAGAGCTGGAGTTTGAATGTAGATTGGACTCTGAAGCCCATGGCTTTGAACAGTACCACATGCTGTCGCCCATGCACACATGGTGATTATTACTAAAATGTACAGGTTAGTTCACGTAAAACTAAAATCTAAGGCCTTACCATTTTCCCAAGTTGTCAGATTAAGCTAATATGAAATATCTTCTGATAAGAACATCTAGAAATGCCAGATAAATACAGCAACCATTTACGTGAATAATTTACTTGAATAAATGAACTCGTAAGAAGAGGAATAAGCAAATCAGTTACTCAAGTCCACAGGAGACACCACTGCACATCCACTAGGGAGGCTGTGATCAAGAAGACCAGTGATAACAAGTGTTGTTGAGGATGTGGGGACGTCAGAACCCTCTCCACTACAGGTGGGAATGTAACACAGTGCAGCTGCTGTGGGAAATGTTCTTCTGGCATTTTCTCAAGTGGTTAAACCTGGTGTTACGTTGTGACGCAGCAAGTCCGCTCCTATGTATGTCCTCATGAGAGATGAAACATGTTTCCACATGAAACTTGTACATGAATGTTCATAGAAAAGTTATTCATAATAGCCCAGAAGTAGAAATAACCCAAATGTCCACCAGCTGATGAATGGATTAAAAAATGTAGTGTATCCATCCAGTGACATATTTAGCCTTAAGGAATGAAATACTTATGTGCTACAACTTATATGAACCTTGGAAACATACCAAGAAACTACTCACAATGAACTACATATCATATGATCCCGTTTGTATGAAGTATCTTGAATATGCAAATCTATACAGAAAGACTGTAGATTAGTGATTGTCTAGGGCGGGGATTGGGGGAAATGGGGGTGACTGTAATCGGTAGGGGGATTCTTTTAGGAGTGATGAAAACATTCCAGAATTGATTATGATGATGGATACACAACTCTGTGAATATACTAAAAGTCATCATACACTTTAAGTGAGTGAATTTTAAGTTAAATTCTATTACAAAACTGTTAGAGAAAGAAAAGAAGAAATTTCCAGGTGCCAAAAAGAAAGGATGGGGGATGGGGAGAGCAATCCATTTTATGTGTTGTGGGAGCCTTCTATTCTGCTCTATTTCAAATGTGTAAAACCTTGGATTGCGAGTAACTTGTTCTGCGAGTGTTCCCCAAGACAAGCAAACATGTCTAATACATTTTAACTTGATAAACGAGGGATGCCTTGCAGTACGAGTAGTACGTGATGCCGAGTGTCACAGGATCACAGCTGAGCCAGTGGTTCTTGAAATTCATTTTGATATACGACTGTTTTGGATTATGTGTTTCTGGAACAAATTATACTTGCCAACCAAGGCTTTACTCTATATTAAACTCAGTCCCAGATTACTGTTCTGCTAGGACATATTCTTGGGGTGCTAATCCTGTATCTTTTTTCTCTGACTCTTTGTTACCTGAGAACACTGTTTCTTGGTGTATTGTAATTTTTTATTGTATACTCATCTTCAGTGAAGATTTGCTGTGGGATTCCACAGAATTAAGGAAGTGTTGCTCCTGAGCAGTTTTTGGTTTGCTTCTGCCACTTAGTTTAAGACTCCAGCCCAAATATGAAAATTTATCAACTGGGGTATCCTGCATATACAGAAAATATCATTTTGGATCCCAGACATGTATGAGACGAGACCTAGGGTTTCACCATCTCAGGACAATTTTTCCCTCTTAGGATAAATTTTTTTTCTTCATGTGGAGTCCAGGTAGTCTGGTCATCACCCTGAGTCCCTACAATGGATTATTTTTAATGGCTCAGTTTGATATAGGGAATCTCAGTCCCAAGCCCTGTCCAGAACACAGACCCAGAACTTGATCTAGCCTCTGTTCCAGTTATACTTGGCATACTGATGCATGTAGTCCCCCACATTCCCCTGACCCCCACTAAAAATGATAAAGAAATGGTAAAAAAAAAAAAAAAAAAAAGTTAAGACCTGAAAGAGTGAGACAGTGGGAGAATGGGAGAGGAGGTGGCAGCAACAAAAATTTCAACACTGAAAAAAATGTCAACAGGGGTGCCTGGGTGGCTCAGTCGGTTAAGCATCCGACTTCGGCTCAGGTCATGATCTCACGGTTTGTGGGTTTGAGCCCCTCATCGGGCTCTGTGCTGACAGCTAGCTCACAGCCTGGAGCCTGCTTCACATTCTGTGTCTCCCTCTCTCTCTGACCCTCCCCTGCTCACGCTGTCTCTCTCTCTCAGAAATAAACAAACAAAAAAAAGAAAAAAAAATGTCAACACTGGATGAATAATAACTGGTTAACCAACTAGAGAAAGGCTGAAATTTATAGTGGGAGTGGTGTGAAACACAGAAGCAAGCCACAAGTTCCCACGGACCCTCAGAAAGCTCCAGAACATTCAGGTTCCTCTGAATGTCTGTCCTTAGACATCCAGCCTCCTCCCTCACCTGTGCTGCCCATTGAAGGCTCTTCCCTCACCTTCACAAGGAAAGATTAGTGATGAACTCCGTTCTCTAGCTGCATGTTTGGTCACCGGAGACGTGCCTCCAGCAGGAGGAGTTGGGAATTTTGCCTGAACGTGTTTATAATACGGTTTTCTTAAGTAGGGCTTTTGCTGGGAATTTTGGTATTAGTTCCTTCATCATTGCTGCCATTCGTGACTCAGAATTTAAGTACTTGTGTGTGTGTGTGTGTATTGTTGCTCTCAAATTGCAGGAAATTAGAGTGAGCTGTCTGTTACCTGGCATATTTGAGGAAAGGACAGCCAGTAAATTAAATATCATAGTTAATGGTTATCTGTATTCAAATGTGTAATACTTTGGAAGAGTTAACAGAGGTGGATGTGGGAGGTTAGAGTTAGGACACTTAGATACAGTGTAATACACCTTTCCTGTTTTAAGCACGAAGAAATAAAGGCTCACAAAGTGGAAATGGCTGGTGCAGGACCATAGAGCCACTTCCTGACAGCAAGCAGGGCGGGGCGGGGGGCGGGGTAGGAAAAAGCGCTTGCTGCTCCCTCCATGTGTCACTGCATCACGGAGTACGAAAAAATAGACTGAAGCAAACAACCGTTAATCTATGGAACATGATTTGTCATTGACTGATTTATAGGATTTCTCAAAATGGCTTCCTAGGTACAAAACCTATAAACTTTGGAATGTAATTTCTGATCCATAGTCAGAATACTAGCTCTAAAGCTTTTTCATGCTTTGTGTTAACTCTAAGCTCTAGAGATGAAATTGCTTGTGATAATTTTATAGAAGTGTTGAGATGCCCGCCTTAGTCGTGTATATATATATAGATATCAGTGTCAGTCTAGCTTATCTTTATTTTCAGTCCAGGGAAATCCCTGAACTTGATGCTGCAGAAGCAGTTGAGAAGGACAGGTTCTCATTTTTTAAAATTTCTTTTTTATTGTTTATTTTCTGAGAGACAGAAAGTGCAAGCAGGGGAGGGGCAGGGAGAGGGAGACAGAATCCGAAGCAGGCTCCAGGCTCTGAGCTGTCAGCATGGAGCCCCATGCGGGGCTTGAACCCATGAACCATGAGATAATGACCAGAGCCGAAGTCAGATGCTTAACCAACTGAGCCACCCAGGTGCCCATAGGGTTTGAACTCACAACCCTGAGATCACAACCTGAGCTAAGATCAAGAGTCAGATGCTTATTTGACTGAGCCACTCAGGCACCCCAGGCTTTACTCCTAGTGGGTGGGGGTTGTTGGCAAGAAAAGTTGGAACATTTCTTTTTAAGATGTTTTGAATAGTTCTGTTTCATTTTTTCACAGTGGTCCTAAACCCAAGTGGTTGGGTGTTGTAGAGTTCTAACTGGGCGGGTGCTGGGGGGGCGTTAGGAGAATTTTGTCTAGTGTGTGCATTCACATACGCCTTAGTGGCCCATGGCGAGTAGCATAAATCCATCTTTTCTGCTGGACACTTACTATGGTAACAGTCAATGATTTTCATTAATATTAGGATTTAAACTTTACACATATAATACTTGTGAACAAATGCGACATCCCTGATGACGGGAGACAGTAGAAGAGCTTTACTTGAAGTAGTTCAGTGGAATCCATTTTATTAAGTATGGGCATTTATCTTGACTTAATTTCTTGCAGAAAATATTACAATGAAGGAACCATTCACCAACTACCTGCAAATATGATCAGACGTAAAATACGAAATTGCCTTTATTTTGCTTTTGTAACATGATTTATCTTGCAGTGTGTGAACTTAAATCTCCCTCGATGAGTGACTTTCTGTGGGGACTGGAGAACTCTGGCTGGTTAAGGCACATTAAGGCCATCATGGATGCAGGAATCTTCATAGCAAAGGTGGGTGAGAAGGGGGGAGCAGCCAGCAGACTGGCACTTGGACTTCAGAACGGAGATCATGCTTTATCTCATCGGCTGCGGCCGCCATGCTAAGCTGTGCTCGCCAAGCGGAGAGCTGGCTTGGCAGACCACAAGTTGACCCTCTGATTTTGCCAAACAGAGTACAGTGTACAATCTTTCCCTTTTCGGAAATGATCATGGCCAGCAACAACGGCAGAATTTCAGTATTGGGAAAGTCAAGGTGGAACCCAGAGGGGAAGAGAGGGTGGCTTCTGGGTGTGATGGGAAGCCCCAAACCAGCCCCTGCTCTCTCCTAACTGGGTGGGGCATGAACACTAAATTAATGAGCCATTTTCAGTTAGGTGGGTTTTTATTTTATTTTTTTTAGCTTTCTCTTTCTGTGGGTATAAAACCAACCCTAGTTCTGATGAGACATTTCTCTGGTAGCCATTCTTTCCGACTCTTCGCCGGTCCGTGTGTTTCAGGCGGTTTCAGAGGAAGGGGTGAGCGTGCTCGTTCACTGCTCCGACGGCTGGGACCGGACGGCCCAGGTGTGCTCGGTGGCCAGCCTCCTGCTGGACCCGCGCTACCGGACCCTGATGGGCTTCATGGTGAGTGCTGCAGCCCGCCTCGCGCCCCACGCACGGCCGGGCGGGGTGGGCAGCTTTTGGCAGGCTTTTCGCCTCTCATCGTTCTCTTAGTGCATCAGCAAAGTTAAAGGGGAAAAGGTGGAGAACGGTCTCAGAGTGAAGAAGGGAAATGAGTTTCCGGGATGTCGGGACCCATTCAAATTGGTGCTACTCAATGTGAATTTGGGGGTGAATATACAAGCTATTCAGTGGTTTGCAAAATAGTGAGTTTTATATCCTCTTTGCTCCTAAATATTTCATGTTTGAGGTAACACGTGAACATGTGCTAACAGGAAACACTTTTCGGAAGAAAATGCTCGGAGGAAGCATTTTCTGTGTTGCGCACACAAAGTCTTTGGGAGGAAGAACTGTTGTCATTGACTGCCTTCATTTTTTAGGTAGTCCTTCACAGCTCTGGAGGAGAGTATTGAGAATTTCAGTTTTTGTGTTCTTTGTTGAAATTATCAAGTCTGTCCTTTCCTAGATTTTCACCTTTTAGGTGTGCGTCACAGCGTGACGCTACATCCAGGTGCAGAATATTTGTGTAGTTGCCTGGAGCTGTGCCGCTTTGGCCGAGGCGGAGCCCTTGTCTTCAGATCACAGCAGGGGCTTCCTAGTGCCTGGCAGGACGCCTGGTCCTTGCCTCTTGAGCCAGGATTTGGTAGAAAGTGCTCCAGTGGGTCCTGAATCCGTGCTGGGATGGATGTGGACAGAGAAGCCTGAACGCGTTCTCTCTACTGCTCTGTCCCCTTCATCGAGTTGTATCAGCCGGCACTCGGGGGACAGGACAGAAGAGGCAGAGGCGGTTTGCTTTATGGGCTTTCGCTTCTGTTTTTCAAAGTGTCTGAGAACTTCCGGTGACCTGTGATAACGCTGAGACTTCAGGGGTACTCCTGCGTCAGACCCCTCCCCCGGAACGAGGTTAGGGTTCCTTCATTTCCATTAGGAGAGCGGAGGGTTTCTGGGGCACACGCTCCTTCACGCCATCCTCCACCACCGACTCTGATTCTGCCCCATTAAATTTATGTCATCACGGGCAAATTGCACCCACTCCATATTGTTTTTAAGGGAAATCTCTGGCCATTTTATTTTTTTAATGTTTTTATTTATTACTGTGAGAGAGACAGCGTGAGCAGGGGAGGGTCAGAGAGAGAGGGAGACACAGAACGTGAAGCAGGCTGCAGGCTCTGAGCTGTCAGCACAGAGCCCGACGAGGGGCTCCAACCCACGAACCGTGAGATCAGGACCTGAGCCAAAGTTGGACGCTTAACCGACTGAACTTCCCAGGTGCCCCAATCTCTGGCCATTTTAGAGCATTGGTGATAGTGATAGGATTGTTCTCTATTTAATTTTTTTTTTTTAAATCCAGGCAATTGGAGATTATAAACTCATGTTACCCCACCTCCAAAGCAGGGCTGAAACTCCTCTTATGCTGCAGACACCCATCATTTTACAGGTTTTCTCATGTGTAATAAAGATCAAAGGAAAGTATTCCTAATTGTTTCTTGTAAGGGGATTGGTATTTGATATTATAGCTGAGACATAATGTTAAGAGGCTTTGGTGTAGAAGGATCGAGGTTAGGAGGTAGCACCAACCACTTCCTACGAGCGTGACCTTACCAGTATTTACCTTCTCTTTCAGTTCCCCCTTCTGAAAAATGAGTGATTATGCTTGTCCCCCAATGAAATGAGATTATGTGTGAAGTAATATGAACAGTGCTTGTAGGAAGCACCCACTGGTGCTGTTACCACCATTTCAAATATCCATTCCCATTTTTTGAAAACCCTGTGGATGACCTTCGACTTTGCCCTTCTTCTGTACTGGTCGGTAATGAGTGCTCATTCACTTGCAGGTTACCGGAGGATGGTGACTACTCCAAGAGCCTTTGAATCCTTCAACGTTATTGGTTGGGGTCTCTTATTTTTCCTTGTTTCCGTCTCCATGATATTTATATTCTTTTTTGTGTAGGTATTAATTGAAAAGGACTGGATTTCCTTTGGTCATAAGTTTAATCACAGGTAAAAAAAAATTCTGTTGTTTTGAACGTTTAGGATAGAAAAATCTGTTTCTGAAGTTTTCATTTGAGTGGTGGGGAAAATAGTCTTATTTTTAAAGTTTCTTTGTGGATTTTATTCAAAAAGTTAAAGCTTTATTGTAAACATTGTATCACAGATAAATGAATTTCGAGCACTCACCTATTTATTTGTTGGGCAGAACTAATTAATGTTAAATTGTTGCAGAAAAGACAGAATACTTCTTCATTCACTGAGCTAGAAAGGATGAGCTCTCTCTTCCTCCTATATTTGATTTATTAAACTATTCCATCTTTGAAGTGCACATTCACTCTGGGCAGGAAGATGTGAAATGTCTACAGAACAGTCTCTCTCTGACCTTTCTCTTCACACACGGGAAACTAAATCGGGCTTGTCCTGAGGCATTTGTGTCACAGGTGCAGTTTGTCCCAGATGTCTGTGGAGGGAACGTAGCTCAGGTTTTGGAGCCAGACAGATCCAGCCCCAACCCCCAGGCTGTGGCATTTACAAGCTGTGGGGCTTGATCCTTAGTGTTGGGTCTCCCATCTGTGAAATGGGGATAGGCTCCCTGTTCCATAGGGTTGTAACGAGGCTTCTTAAAAAGTGTATGTAACTTGTCTAGCTCCTTGTACAACTAAGCCTGTGTAATAAGCTTTCAGTAAACAGAAGCTGTTTCTAGAGCCACCACTGTCCTTTTGGTTACTGTTGATAATGCCTGATGTTTAATCTCTGAATGCTGAATGCTGTAGCTGGTGTAATCTAGTCTTTCGGTGCTAAAAATTAAATTTTAGGCAACATGATAATAATAAGTTAGATATTTCTGACAGACACTTTTGCTTCAATGTGTTTTCCTTAAGTAAATTCTAATTTCATGGAGCCGCCCATTTTTAATTTTCTCATCTTTGCAGTTAGCATTAGTCATTCATTCTGTGGTTTTCTGGAATTCTATTTTTATAATTATTTTTCCAGGAATGCACAGTGAATCTGTTTTACAAAAGAGAAAATTAAAGCCCCCAACATTTAAGTAACTTTTTTTTTAAGTAGGTGTCAAGCCCAATGTGGGCCTTGAACTCATGACCCCGATTAAGATCACATGTTCTATAGACTGAGTCAGCCAGGTGCCCCTTAAGTAACCTTTTGAAGATCACATTGTTATTTTCAGTTTTGGGGGTTCTACTGTCTTCTAGGCAGTTAGCATCATTGAGGCAGAGAATATGTCCCCTTTTTCTGTCTAGAAATAAGGTGGAAATAGCTGAAGACTGTTTTAGGAGGAAAGAATATTTAGGCACTCCCCCCCTTTTAAAAAAAGGTTTATTCGAGAGAGAGAGAGAGCGAGCGAGCACAAGCAGGGGAGGGGCAGAGAGAGACACACAGAATCTGAAGCAGGCTCCAGGCTCTGAGCTGTCAGCACAGACCCCAACAGAGTGCTTGAGGCGAAGTCTAAAGCTCAACGAAAGCCACCCAGGCACCCCAGGCTACATTTTTTGAAGCTACTAGGTTGAGTGGAACTAAAACTTTTGAAGTTTCCAGACAATTTCTAATGTTTTCACTCTTAGAAAAACTCCTAAACTGATCTTTGCTCATTTCTGTTCCAAAAGTTGGTTATCCACTGCTGAGAAGATGAGCTTCTAAATTGTTATTGTGTATCTGGTGGCCCCCAAATCATCCTTTTGGATTTTAAAATTCACATAATGGTGTAAAGGACTAGACAGTCTTCATTTAAGGTCAATACAGATGTGAGGGAGGAGATCTCTGATGTACTCTTGGAAAACAAAGACGGGAGATCTAAAGGTATATGGGAACCTGGCCACGTGGACATAAACTTTGTGATAGGTTTTCACATTGCTCTAGAAATACCCTGAGATACTTGGAAAATCACAATTTTTTCAAGTTGTCTTTCCTCCTCTTCCTTTCCCAACAAATCAGTGCAAAAGCAAAAAACTCTAAAGTTGCTTAGACATTTCTCCCACCCTCCCACAAGTCACTGATTAAAATGAAATGGAAGATTTACTTCAGAAGTTCTGATGTACTTTTAAATCTTGAATTAAAGAATGCTCTTTTGCCATGGAAAGTTCCCTTGAATTTCAGCTCTTACACAAATGCTGTCTTTCATAACTAGGAGTATGTTCCTTCTCTACCCAGACCTTCAATACTAAGTTTCTCTTAAAGTGGAATTCAAGTTGTTTTTTCCACTTCCGTGCTCTAGGTTTACAAGGTTTATTTAGAAACTAGGGTTTCTTTTTGATTGTTTTTGCATTTATAGCTGTCTAATTCACCAAACCCAACTTGCTGTAAAGTCTCTGATAATTCATTTTATAGATACGGCAATCTTGATGGTGATCCAAAAGAAATCTCTCCAGTTATCGATCAGTTCATTGAGTGTGTCTGGCAGTTAATGGAACAATTTCCCTGTGCCTTTGAGTTCAATGAGAGATTTCTGATTCACATTCAACATCACATTTATTCCTGCCAGTTTGGAAACTTCCTATGTAACAGCCAGAAGGAGCGACAAGAGCTCAAGTAAGTGCTTTCTTTGCTGTTTAATTTTTATCTAAGGATTCTGTGACTGTGAGAATTTCAGATGGCCTTTTAAAATTCTGAAGACTGTTTTAGCTACATATCATACTGACAGATTAAAGTTGCTTTCCTTTTCGTGATATTACTTCATACATGGTTTGATACCAGCAACTGACAACGTGAGGTACGAGCTTATCTGTCCCAGTGATAGCCACGGACAGGGTGGTAGACGTGACACACAAATACTGCAAGGAAACAAACTTTTTGGAGTCAGAGAAAGTGATCTTTGGATTTAAAAGGAAAAAGTTAGACATCTTCAGTGGACATACTCTCATAATAAGAGGTGCAAATCTAACTGGGAAAGAAGCAGATTTGAAACTCAAGTCATTCATTCAGATTAAAACTACTTTTATCAAGAAAGAAAGTCAGTGAAATGTAGAATTTAAAATAAATTACAAAGTCAAAATTAACAGTGAAGTGCTTTATGAACTGCAATGAGAGAACAGTTTTCAAATTTTCATAAGATAAAATGATTTTACCTGTGGTGTGTGTAATAATCAGATTTTATTTTGGCAGTGATCAGTTCAAGTAAAACAGACTCCACTGGTTTTATACTGTCCAAACAGACAGAAAATGGCTTTTTCTAGTGAATATTGGGTGATTTTTCAGGAGCTTCAAGGGTGATTCCTAATAAATGGTAATGATTTAAACGTAGCGGAGTACATCCTTCAAGCTCACCTGTTTTCGTAGATGGGTTTGTTGCGATGGACCAGTCAATGTAATGGTGTCTGCTTGGGTGTGAATCCTGGCTATTCCATTCACCAGCTATGTGATTTTGAGAAACTGCTTAATCTCGTAACCTCACTTTCCTCATCTGTACAATGGACAGATCTCATAGGAATTCAGTGAGGACTGAATGGGAGAAAACAGGTGAAGCATTTAAATGTACCTGGCAAACAATAAAATTTCAATGACCATTTGGGGAAAAATCTGCCCCCCTCCAAATTACGTAGCAGTTTTATTTTACACTTAGAGGAGTGAACCATCTGGTCCAGGCCAGCAGAGAAGCTGAGACTATCACAGCGCTCTCCTGCTGAGTCATGAAGATACAAACTCAGACTGTCAATTTCCCTGCTACAGAACAGGGACACTAGATATTCATGTAACAATTATTGGTCTCCTTCCGGCTTTAATAATTACATTATCTACGATTTCTGTGAACCAAGATAGATCATTTTCAGGCTTATTTTCTTTATTACAGAATTCAAGAAAGAACATACTCCTTATGGGCTCACCTGTGGAAGAATCGGGCCGACTACATGAATCCTCTGTTTCGAGCTGATCATAGTCAGACCCGGGGAGCCCTTCATCTCCCCACAACGCCGTGCAACTTCATGTACAAGTATGTAAACCTCAGGGTTTGGTTATGAACCGAGATTCTGCCACTGATGAATATTTGGAGGCCAAAGCATGTGAAATACTAAGCTTCAAGGCTTTTTTTTTTGGGGGGGGGGGGGACATAAAACACACCTAAGGAAGAGGATGCTTATTAAATAACTGATCTGATATTCTTGCCAGTGTCTCTGCTTCCTCTCCTTTCCCCCTAAATATGGAAATGTCTTTAGAAGTTGGTGTTTTATAATAATGATACTTTAAAAATATAAGTTCCAATATTATTTAAAAGTAAAAAAACAGTGAGGGAAGAAGAAAAGAAGGAAGCAAGAAAGGACAGAGGAAAGGAAGGATGGATCGAATAAACCAGGTGCCTTCTAAGTTAGATGTGGAATCACAAGTTTAGGTAGTGACCACGACCCTGACTTACCTCCTTTCTCTGCTGAATCTCCCCCTACTGGAACTACTTCCTTGTGGAAATCAATTTTTTTAAGACCGTATATACTGGGATGGGGAGAGAAGGGTGGCATCCTACATACTCGGATGGGTCCGTGTGTTACATTTCAGCCTTTGATGTCTCAGAGATCAGCAAAAAAGACAAATATATACAGAATAAACCGAGAAACTACATTCCGTCTCCCTGCTCACCCCCAGCATACACCTAGTGGCGTTTCTTCCTCTATAGTTTTTTCCCCTCAATTTGTTTTTGTTATTGTTTTAATCTTACTATTTTAATCTAATTATTTCCCCAGAAGTCTAAAGAAATGTTAATTCTGCCATACTAAAAAGAAAGAAAAAAAAAAAAGGCTTCCGTGGCTTGTGTAAAATAGCAGTTTTGAGAGCTGCTGAGGGACCTCATGCTCCTCATTTGTGAGTAACAGCCAGTCAACAAACATGTTACTGAGGGGCCAGCACTGCTGTCAGCAACTGTGGAGAAAACAGAGACGGGTAACGAGTCCCCGCCCTCAGAGTACTTCTCTGAGTAAAGTGCTGATCTGCACACATCCGTGTGATAATACTGTCCATGCTCATCTGCATTCCAGTATGCTCTGTTGTAGAGGATTTAAAAAATACGATGTATTACAAATGGAAATATCAATTTTTGGTGGTTGTAATAAAAACCAGCCCAAACCCTCAAATTTAAAAGGTTCCCTTTGCAGCTGAGAGATTCTAAATGAGAACACAACCACTAATTTTCCAAGCTTACTTCAAAATTAAGAGCCATTTTCTTAAAAAAGATAGTAACGTGTGCTATTTCAGTCTATTTAAGAAAGATACAGGCCGCCTTACTCAGGACCATATGTACAAGTAGACTCGTCATGAATTTACCTTCCCAAGAGAAAGAAAGTACTAAAATGAAATCATCACCTAATGTAAGTGGCTTTGAGCCTGGGATTTGTCATTACGAGGACACTGGGCCTCTGGCCTTAAAGGTCCCTTGGGAAGACTTGTACAGACTGAGATGGTGGCATCATAAAGCTGTGCCGTCTCTCCCAGGTTTTGGAGTGGGATGTACAACCGCTTCGAAAAGGGGCTGCAGCCCCGACAGTCTGTGACAGATTACCTCATGGCGGTGAAGGAGGAGACCCAGCAGCTGGAGGAGGAACGTGAGGCCCTGGAGGAGGTAAGACACACCTCTTGTTCACCGGTCTTCTGTCCTTATTTCCCAACAACCACTGTTCCGTGAAGGCCTTCCGTGACTTGGGGTATGTGAAATGCGGCAACAGGGCCATTTTATATCTTTGGCCAAGTGGATAACCTGAAACAGAATCCCCCCAGGTGAGCGCCCAGATAACCGAAGCCCAAGGCCAGGCACGTAGCACATTTCCGACGTCCGGCTAGGAGCGCTCTCACAGGGTTTGCACAACGAGTTGGTTACTCCTAATATAGGTCACATTTTATTTTGTCACTGTTATTTGAGAGAACTAAAAGGAATTCTTCCTGAGAGTAAGTGAAACAAGTGGGATTCAAAGTGAAAGAACAAAATTTATCTGATTTTGCACTTGTTTTATGCACTTGTAAAAATTTCTCCACTTTTAATAATATTAGCCTATAAATGATAATAGCTGAGATCGAGTTACCCACAGCCTAGTTTTGTGCTTTTATAATTTCCCAGTAATTGGCCAGGACAGTTATAATGTACATATTCTTGCTAATTATATAACCTTGCTTCCAGTGATAACACTGGTTTGTTTAGCTGTTCTCTGAAACCACAGGGATTCTCTGCTTCATTCTGCTTCATTCACTTTGTTAACAGTTCATGGCATCACCACGTCATCACCACGTCATTCACTTGTTCAAGAATCAGCAACCAACTGCTGTTGTCTGAACCTGAATTCTAAATTGAGATTAAAGATTAAAATAGGATGAAAAGCCTTCTATGCCCCTGAGATCTTATGTACTACAGATAAAAGTATTAGGATGAAGGCTGGGAAATTGTCAGTAAATTAAGATTTCCCATTATAGTGCATAACACAATAATGTGATGGGAGAACTTCCAGGTTTCTACCTTTAGATTGGTAAATGTATAAATGGAAGTCAGCAAAATCTCACACGATGAATTCCAACAGGATCTCCTTCCTTTACCTAACGAATAGTCACCTGGAGGTCACCCCTAAAATGATGGCCTGGAGGACATGTATTACAGTTCGGGGACCCCATCAACAAGAAGTCATTTGGAGGTGGCTGGTGAGGCAGACTCCTCTGATGTTCCCGTAACATTACTGAGAAACCTCACCTTCCAAGATCGAAGTGGCCCATCTTAGGTCTAGGGTTGTAACTCCAGGACATACAGGAGCCTGGTGGATAAAACAAATTTGGGAACTTAAACTATTGGTTTTGAGAACTTTTGAAATCAAGCATATATCTTACTCTATTATAAATCTGCAAAGGTTAAATAAATTCTCTTTGGACCCCTATGGAGAGCTCTACCTTAATTTTACATGATTGGGAGAATAGCTTTTGACTGTGTATCAAAATCACCACCTCACCAAAAAAAATGCTAATGTAGGGCTCTAAGCCTAGAAATTCAGATGGCGAATCTTTAGAATGCCACAGTGAATGACTGTGACTTGCCACCAGGGCGGGAGACACCTTGAATTAAAAATCACACACAGAGAAGTAAAATTAGGCACAGGTTAGGTTTTTAGAATTCTGGAGCTCTGGTAAAGCCTCTGGGAGTTTGGCCATTTTCAAGTCCAACCATGTCATTACTCAGCCAGTTTTATTTATTCTTCCTGAAGATACCCAAACTTTACAAAAAGCTTAGGATTCTTCTAGTCTGTTCCAATATTTTTTGTTAAAATACAAAAAATGAAAGAAAAAAAAAAGCCCTACTTAGACAATCTGAAAACACCTGAATTAAAAGGCTTTGGCTCTTTTTCTCTTATAACAAAATCAAAACCCCTTAGCCTGGCATTTAAGATTTCCCCACAATCCAGCCTAATCAAACCTTTCAACTTAATTCTCTACTCTTCCTCTTGCTCAAATTCAACTGCTCTCTGCTTCTTATACATAATGACATCTTCCTACTTGGGTGTTTTTCTTATCACTGTCCCTCCTGCCATAAATGCTCTAACCGCCACCAGTACCTTAAAGTTTAACTCTTTCAGAGTCCTATTAAAATGCTCCATTCCTGAAGCTTACTTCCCTCTAGCTATCCCACCTGCCTTCTTACATAAAGTTTACCTCTTCCAAATTCTTATATCACCTGAACTCTGCCTCCATACTCCAAGTTCTAATTTATAGCTAGATCTGTATTTATCTCCGTTACTCATATTGCCCACTACAGTGTTCTCTGTACATAACAACTGAAAATGAATGCTTTTAAATGAATATGTAATACTTGCTCTTATAACACCTCCCTTGCTGACACTAAAGGATGAAATCTGGTAAAATGTATTTTGAACAACCCAAATGTCCATTATCTGCTGAAGAGAGAAAACTTGGATATTCACGCAGTGTAGAATCATTCAGCCATAAGAAGGATTGAAGTACTGATAACAAGCTACAGTGAGGATGAACCCTGAGGACATAAACTAAGGGAAAGAAGCCAGACACAGGTTCTTTGTGCTGTATGATTCCATTTATAGGACATGTCCAGACTAGGCAAATCCATAGAGATAGAAAGTAGCTTAGTGATTGCCAGGGCTGTGGGAGGCTGGAGTGGGGAGTGACTGCTAATGGCTATGGGGTTCTCTTGGGGAGGATGAGAATATTTTGGAATTAGGTAGTAGTGAATTGTTGCATAACCTTGTGAACGTACGAAAACCACTGAACACTTTAAAAGGGGGAGTTTTATGGTTAAGTGACCTCTCTTAATTTAAAAATTAGATAGTACATACCTCATTCCTGATTTTTGAAAACCTGCATTTTGAGTTCACAGGATGAAACCCACTATATAAAACCTTACAGGTGTAGAAAGAAGGATGACTACTGAGTGCCAGGTGCTTTACCTATGTTATTTTTTTTCCTTTTTTTGCACTTCATAGAAAACCTATAGTAAAGCAGGTATTACCTTCCTTAATTAGAGATGAAGCATACAATCTAATTATTTTGTTCAAGGTCCTAAAGTCTAGCTTTGAACCCAAGTCCATTTAAATCCCGTGTTCTTAAGATTAAACCCAGGTGGAAAGTAATAAATACTAAAATACTAAATTATTTATGATTTTTCCCTGAAAAATAATTTTTTTTCTTTTAGAGGCTGGAAAAAATTCAGAAAGTCCAGTTAAATCACACTAAAGTGAGGAGTAAGCAAAGTGAACCCAGCAAACACTCAGGGTTTTCTACCTCAGACAACAGCACAGCCAACACGCCCCAGGATTACAGCGGGAACATGAAATCGTTTCCATCCAGGAGTCCTTCACAAGGTGACGAAGACTCTGCTCTCTTTCTAACCCAAGACAATTTGAAAAGCTCAGATCCGGATCTGTCGGCCAACAGTGATCAAGAGTCCGGGGTGGAGGACCTGAGCTGTCGCTCCCCAAGTGGCGGGGAGTGCGCCCCCAGCGAAGACAGCGGCAAGGACCGTGATTCTGACGAAGCTGTGTTTCTCACTGCCTGAACGTGCTCTGCGGAGCTCCAAAATAAAGGACACACAGGAAACACTTTCCAAAAATAAGGGAGCAGTGCAATTTAAAATAAAAAGTCATTCAAGAAATGGGAAATGTCTTTGAGAATTATAAAACATAGCAATGAAGAGAGAAAAATGTTCAGCTTTTACTTTCTTTAGATGCTGAGGAACAGGAAGTAGCCATTTCTTTTACCAAACATATATAAGAAAAGTTATTACATTCCCCATTTTAAGTTGTTCTAGGTTCTGAGAGTTTTGTTTCCCACATAGAGCTGACCTCTTCCGTCCCGAGTTATTGGCACAAATCTTCCTTTCATAGCATGCATCTGCTCAGAGTGCCGACCCCTCGCTGTCTCCCACCTGTTGTCTCAGTCTTTCCCCTTATTTCACTTCCAGATACTTGTTTTCTAAAACACTTGATGTTGTCTTCCTCCCTGACTCTGTTATCACTATTTCTGGTAACGGAGCGCACGGTGGAACGGTACCCTGTGTGGTTAGCAGATGTCTCTGTAATTGCTTGAGCTTATCTTTCAGGGTTAATGATCACTTTAACTCTTCCTTACGTGATATATTTTGAATTGTTATAATAATCGTGTTGCCTTCTTCTGCAGCCTCATCATTTAAAAAATGCTGAAACTTATAATTCACCTTTTCTCTAATGGGTCTAATACCTAATAAAATACAAGCAACATTTACCTTTGGTTCTTAAACAGGAAATGAGGTCATATTAAATACAAGATTTTAAATTGTAAATGTTAGAAAAGATAACATTTTAAAAGAATCTTTTATTACTATTCCAGAGACTGCATTACCACCGCTTGATTCCTGAAGTATAACAGTCGTGTAATATTTTGATAAGGAAAAGTATCAGTTAAAAACTAGAGAACTTGGTTGTCCTGTCTACTTAACTAATAGAAAAAGTTTGTTTTATCACCGATCACAGTAGATACTGTGTACCTGGTTAATATGATTTAACATTAGGAACATCTGACTACTGAAAGTTCTGAAGACTTTGTTTTGCTAAAATGCACATTTGAAGCCGAATCATTCTCCTCTGTCTTTTGATAAAAAATGGGACTTTTCTGGATGATACATGTTTGATCTGAAGAAAGTCTGGACGGAGATAAATAACATAACTGTGCAGGTTTTAATTATCAGTACATTCTAGGATTACTTCAATATTTTGAAGTCTGTTAATAGGGTAATGTATTAAATTTTGCTGGAATGGTAACAAGGTAAGAGGGGAGAGGAGTAACATCACCGAGCTGGTGACAGTTCTGACTTGACTCCCATTCACAAGAAGGCAACTAACAACTGTTCCTGGACGGGACACCGACGAGAGGATGCTAGGGAGCAGGAGTGAGGCTAGGGCACCCCTCAGCACAACAGAGACCGAGACGGAAGGCACCAGAAGGGTAAGAGCAACAGCTACATGCTGACCCCACTGCCCCTCCCCCATGCTGGCTGAGCACTACGTGGAGACTTCTTCCCCGAGCCTATGGTTCCTCCAGTGGGGAGAGCCCATGGGTGATATCCAGCCCCGACCTTCCCAGTGTTGTGCTTACTTGGAGCCCATACTCTGGTTTCACTCCACAAGGACTTCAGGGAAAGCTGTGGGGCTCAACCACTAGGAGCCTGAGACAGAAGGGGAGAGGGGCTTCCAACAACCAGCACTTGGGTCTCGAAGATGGGAGTTTCTATGAGTGCAGCACAAGGAGTAGTCAGTCCTGACCAGTGGGTGTGCCCATCTGCAAGTCAGGTCAGTGGCGCAGTCTGCCCAGGGAATCCGGCGGGGTTCAGGCCTGCCACATTTGGGTCCCCAAAGAAGCTCTGCTGGCCTTGGTGCCTGCTCTGCCCAGGCCCTGGCAGAAGAGCTGAGCCACAGCTCCCTCTGCTGCAGATCATGGCCCCCAGCCCCTCCTGATCAGAAAATCTAGTCAGGAAAATTTGGAGTTGCCTAAAGTGGGCCCTTCCAGTCTTGTCTACGTGGGAACCAGAGACCTAGCCCCCTCCCCACCCCGTCTGACAGGAAGGGCTGGCTAGAACACCTGGAGCTGTGTGGCCCTGCAACTCTTGAGCCAAGAAGTGGGTGGGCAGAACGACGGCACGGAGAGCAAATCCAGTGGCCCTGTCTGGCCAGGGACTGTGAGGCATGGGTTGGCTGGAGTCAAGGAAAGAGCAATGATGACTTTTGAGCTGCTTTTCCTGCTGCACCCAACCAAGAAAAGTAGTCTGTAGCTCACTTGTTGCTGAATGCAGCCTTCAAGCTACCCACACAGGGAACCTTACCAGAGCACAGAGGAAAATGCATAGCTCATCCCACGGCCCCATTTACACCGTCACTTGAATAGAGCATAGCTCTGGGCTTTCCAGTCTGTAGAGGAAAGCCAGTGGCCTCCTCTGATTAGGATTTTAAGTGTACACACCTGCCTGAATCAGGTCCCCAAACAAGCTGTGCAGGTCCTGGGTCCTAGCCTGCTGCCCTGCAAGGGCAGAGAAGCTAGTTCATAGCCTCTGAATGCCGAATGTAGTACCCAGTCCCAACCTTCTGGCAAGCCTGACCACAAATTCCAGGAAATCACAGAAATCATCTCACAGCCTCACTTCAGGAGGGAAGCAAGTCAGCAGTGTTACACAGCTATTCTTAGCCAGTGGCAAACCCCCTACCCCTGAGCAGTTAACAGCTGCCTTGCCTAAAAATAGACTCTAAAAGGAGGCCCCACGTACCCAAGAATGATGTTACCAGCAGACATGTCCAGAAACCCAGACTAAGCTAGTGAGGAAATGTCTCTGCCAAATCAAACATGGTAAGTGTGAAAGAGGCCACTTACTCAACGAAAGGCACAGATACCAACATAAGGGAATCAAAGATCTTGAAAAATCAGGTAAGTGTGACATACCACCAACAGAAAGGAATGAAGCTCTAGTAACTGACCCAAAAGAAATGGAGATCTGTGAGCTGTCAGATAAAGAATTCAGAGTAATTCTCATAAAGCTTAGTGACTATAAGAACACACAAATAAAATTATGAAAACAATACATGAACAAGTTTAACAAAAAAAGAGAAATCATCAATCCCCCCGCCCCCCAACCCCTAGAGCTGAAAAATGTAACTGAAGAATTCAATAAAGAGTTTCCAAAGCAGACCCAACCATGCAGAAGAACACGGGAGTGAACTGAAAAAAAACAAAAACAAAAAACCCACAAAAAACAAAAACCAAACCACTGAAATTAGAGGAGCAAAAGTAAAAAAAAGGATGAAAGAAAGTGAAAAGAGGCTACAGGAATTACAGGCCACAATGAAAGCAAGTAATATTTGCATTATGGGAATTCTAGGAGAAAAAGAAATGGACAGAAAGTGTATTAAAGCAATAATGGCTGAAAACTTCCCAAACCCAGGTAGAGAAACAGACATCTAGATCCAAGAGGCCCAAAGTACCCTAAACAGATTGAACCCAAATGGGGCTAAATCAAGACACTTTACATTTAAATGGCAAAAATCACAGACAGACCATGAATTTTGAAAGCAGCAAGAGAAAAGAGAGGTTACATAAAAGGGAACTCCAAATAAGGCTAAAGGTGTACCTCTCCAAAGAAACCTTTCAGGACAGAAAACAATGGGATGACATATTCAAAATACTGGGAGAAAAAAAGAAAAACCCAAAGCTTCAATCAAGAATTGTACATCTGGCAAAGCTGTCCTTCAGAAATAAAGGGGAGATAGACTTTCTCAGACAGACAAAAGCTGAGGGAGTTCATTATCACTAGACCTACCTTACAAGAAATCCTAAAGGGAGTTCTTTGAGTGAAAATAAAAGATCACTAGTTAATAGCACAGAAACATTAAGTAGGCAGTGTACAACTCACTGGTATTGATAGATAAAAATGGATTCTGTAATAGGATGATGGTGGTAAGTCATAAGACTCTAGTTTAAAAGTTAAATATAGTAAAAGTAACCATATCTTCAATAGTCTGTTATTACACAATAAGAAAATGTGTAAACTGCAACAATTCCCCAATATAAAGACACAGGCTAAGTGGATTAAAATAACAATACCCAACAATATTCTGTCATCCCAGAGACCCACTTCAGCTTTAAAGGCTGAGAGTGAAGGAAGTCATTTTAAGCAACTGGTAACAATATCAACAACAATAACAAAAAGGCAGGGGAAGCTATACTTGTATCAGACAAAATAGACTTTAAAAATTATAAAAAGAGACAAAGAAGGTCATTGGTAAACAGGTCTATACAAGATAGTTTAACAATTGTAAATACTTACATATCCAGTGTTACAATCAAAGCACATAAAAACATAAAGCAAACACGAACAGACCTCAAAGAAGAAATAAGCAAAAGTACAGTAAGAGTTGGGGACTTTAATACTCCACTCAACAATGGGTAGATCATGCAGACAGCAAATCAGTAAGGAAAAAGCAGATTTGAACAACCTACAGACAAAATGAGACTTGAGTAATATACTGAACATTCTATCTGAACAGCAGAATATATTCTTCCCAGGTGTAAATGAAACATTTTTCTAGGATAGAACAGATGTTAGGACAAAAAAACAATTCTTAGCAAATTTAAGAACAATGAAATCATACCAAATATCTCCTCTAACCATAACAAGAGGAAAACTGCAGAGAAAAAAAAAAAAGGAAATTAGACATTCTCCTGCACAACCAATGGATCAAAAAGGAAATTAAAGGGGAAATAAAGTATCTGGAGATAAATGACAATGGAAACACAACCTACCAAAACTTATGAGAGACGACAGTAAAAGCAATTTGAAGAGGGAAGCTCATAGCAATAAACCTCCCAGATAAATAAGCAGAAAAAGAATAACAAAATGAACCCCAAGTTAGAATAAGAAAGGAAAAAGTAAAGATTACAGCAGAAATAAATGAAGGATAGAACAGAGAGGCAGTAGAAAACATTAACCAAACTAAGAGGTAGTTCTCTGAAAACAGAAAATTGACAAATTATTAGATAAATGAAGAAAAAAAGAGGAACCAAATAAAAAAATTATGAATGAAACAAGGAGATATTATAAAGGCTATTAGAGAAATACAAAGAATCGTAAAAGGCTACTATGAACAATTACATGCCAACAAACAGGAAAACCTAGAAGAAATGTAAAATTTCTTGTAAGCACACAATCTACTGAGACTAAATTGAGAAGAAATGGTCTGAATTATACCATTTACTAGTATGAAGATTTAATCAGTCATTAAAACTCTTTCAACAAAGAAAATTCCAAGACTGTCTTCACTAGTAAATTTTACCAAATATTTAAAATAAAATTAATACCGACCCCTCTGTAATTCTTCCAAAAACTAAAATATCAAAGCGGAGGGGCACTTCCAAACTCTTTTTACAAGCCAACATCACCAATAACCAAAGCCGGAAAAAGATACTACCAGAAAGAAAAAAAAAAACTATGAACCAATATCCCTTATGATAGAGATGCAAAAATTCTCAACAGAATACCGCAAACTGAATTCAGCTCATGAAAAGGATCATTTACAATGAATGACCAAGCATGATTTATACCTGGCATGCAAAGATGGCTCAACATGTGCCCATCGACATGACATTAATGAAGGGAAAAAATCATAATCATTGCAGTAGTCATAGAAAAAGCATTTGAAAAAAAATGCAACATCCTTTCATGATAAAAACTCTTAACAATT